CTACAGATCGGACATGGGAGTGACAGAGAGAGGGGTGGGGTTAGTCATAGAATGAAGGGAAGAACATTTTGGGACCCTGGAGGGAACGACAAGTAAATGTTAACCTGCAGGGATTTTGAGTCACAGAGAAAGTTATTTTGTTTTTTTGTGTGTGTGTTTTTAATTGAATTATTGGGGTGACATTGGTTAATAGAGAAAGGAAGTTTTAAAGACCCTTACTCACATTAAGTGGACTTTGCCGTCCATAAAATAGAAACCAAGTTCATCTATTCAGAGTGACTGGGATGGGGTTGGGGGTATTAAGGACATGAAGAAAGCAGAAAGTTACCACTTGCTAAATACTCTCAGTTTCAATATCACTTATTTGCTTATTTGTATGTTATGTGGAGGTAGAGATTTCTGTCTGGATTATTATATCTTTATTTTTTAATAATGCTTTCCCTCCTGCACCTAGAATAGAATTTGGCAAAAGGCAAATACTTAATGAATATCCGTTGAATATGGGATGGATGGATGAAGGTACAGGAGGCATAAAGGGGAAGGAAATAATGTATTCAGAGGAGGTTGTTTCAGAATTCAGGTTCTAGGGTGGGTCTAGGACAGGGGTGGGCAAACTTTTTGACTCGAGGGCCACAATGGGTTCTTAAACTGGACCGGAGGGCCGGAACAAAAGCATAGATGGAGTGTTTGTGTGAACTAATATAAATTCAAGGTAAACATCATTACATAAAAGGGTACGGTCTTTTTTTTTTTTTAGTTTTATTCATTTCAAACGGGCCGGATCCGGCCCGTGGGCCGTAGTTTGCCCACGGCTGGTCTAGTATGTGAGTGTTATTGTGGGAGCTGGAGAGAATGAGAAGGTTCCTGTTGTTGAGGAAGTTGGATTACTGGGACACTGGATAAGTAGAGGGAATTCCAACTCCTCCAGCATGATGGAAGAGAGAAAAACTACAATTCAGGCCCCTGTAACTGGAATTTAGGAGGGACTGGGTGGCAAAGAGATGACTAACAAAAGTTGGGGGAGGGGATGGTTTAACAAAAAATAAGTAGCATATTCACAAAGAAACTAAGTAATAGTTGTTAAGTGTTGCCTCCCTTACATCTAGCTTGATTCCCTTCCCCCTCCCCCCAACCAGTTCTCCCAGGTGCATTTAGTTAAAATGTGCAAACACTGTGTGTGTGTGTGTGTGTGTGTGTGTGTGTATTTCAGAGAGAAAGGGAGAGGGAGAGAGAAACATAAGTAATGAGAGAGGACCATTGATCGGCTGTCTCCTGTATGCCCCACAGTGGGTATCGAGCCTGCAACCCAGGCATGTGCCCTGACTGGAAATTGAACCGTCACCTCCTGGTTCATAGGTTGACACACAACCACTGAGACATGCCAGCCAGGCCCAACACTGGTTTTTAAAAGTCTAATATTCTGGTGTGGGATAATAAGTATTTGCCGATTAAAATAGTTGCTATCAATGGCTAGTCCTTCGGATTTTTGGAGTCGAATACTAGCATTTGCTTTTTAAGCTGTCATAGTTCAAAATGGAGGGTATGATTTATACTGATATATTTGTGGTTGGAAACTTTAATGTCGCCAAAATCTTCCCAATTGACATCTGAGTATCTCACTTATGTTTCTGGTCAATTTATTATTTTAAAACACCCTGCCAGACCATAGTGCTTTACAAAGTTGGCAGCATATTGCTGATGACCTAAATTATTATTCAAACTCATTGTAAGTGTTCTAAGTGTTTCAGTATACAATTACCCATTTTATCCATTTGCAGTGCATTTTAGTGGTGCTTTATTGCACAGAAGGGTTGTCGTTGCCCCCCCCCCCCCAGCCCAAATAACCACAAATAATGTTTAAGTGTTTTAAACTCCACTCCCTAGATTTATTTTATTTTTAGAGTGCAAAGCACCTTCTAGAACATCAGAAAGTGTGGTCCAGTTTCCATTAGGTTTCTTCCAGGTAATAACTCCTTTCCATGCTACACTCGAAGCTGCATTCCACCATGTTTCTGCTGGCCCTGAGCTTTCTTTCAACCATTATTTCCTTCTATTCTCTGGTTTTCCCCTGTTCTGCTTTGCTTAAGTTCAATTTCTTTCTTTCTGGTCCCTTCAGATCAATAGTTTCTAATTATCCTTTAGGTCTTAGTTTCAATATCACTTTCTCAGAGAGATATTTCTAGATTCTTTCCTTCCTATGACATTCGATCTCTCTGCTGTATTTAGTCATCATTGTGCTTTCCCATCATAAGTTTTACACCTTATTGCAATTATACGCTTCGTGGCCGTGTGCCCCTGTAATTCAATCCATAACCTTGAGGGCCCATGTCTATCTTATGGCACCTATAATCAAACATTAATACTTGTGCCTTGAAATATTCACACAAAATATGATAAATGTACTATAAATAGTCTCAAGTCTGTTCAGGTTCTGGTTTTGCTGCCGCATAACTCTAGTTGGGTTGGGCCATTGATGAATTATAAAGAAACGTTTAAGTTTGGGAGTTTGGGGCCTTTGGAATTACTAGGCAGAGGACCATGGTAGGCACACATCTTGGTGGAATGCTGACTGTTGAAGCATCTCTTGAATGTCTCCTTCCATCCTCAGAACCGTCATTAGGTCAAGCCACAGCTGTCACCTGGATTGCAGAGTGTCCTCCTGCTCATTTCATTAGCAGTCCATTCTTCAGAATGAATGTCCTAAAACAAGTTTTGGTCATGTCACTCCTCTATGTACATCCTCTCAGTGGCTTATATTGCCCAAAAGATAAAGTCCACATTTCTTAACCTATGGTACAAGTGCGTTATGATCTGGGTTGTTTGCCTCTCAATTCTTCAATAGCCACTCCCTACTTTTACATTGTACAAACATATCTTTCATTCTATAGTCCTACTTGCCTGCTAGCTGTTCCTTCTGTCTGGAATAGACCCTTTATCCTTCCTCCATCCTTACATCCTTTTCTATCTTATCTATTTTTCAGGTTTTGAATTAGATGTCACTTCTAAGGAGGCTTTTTCACCTCAGTTCTAAACTAGATGTGCCCCCCCCCCCACTTTGTATTTGGTCAATAACTTATACTCCTGCTATATTGTGATGTAATTATGCCACTAATTCTCTAGAGAAGGTTTCTCAATTTGGACATTTTTTATATGCTTACCTAGTGACCTCTGATGTTTAATACTGCCCTCTGGCACTTGACCTGCTTCCTCTGGTCCTTGACCTCTAATTCTCACCCTGCTTTTGGAGTCAATTCTAGGCATGGTTCTAAATAACTTACACTAGGTTTCTCTACCTTGGCATTATTGACATTTGGGGCCAGATAAATCTTTCTTGTTGGGGGGTCGTCATTGTAAGCATCATTGTAGGATGTTTCGCAGCATCCCTGGACTCTACCCACTGGATGCCAGTAGTACACCCTCCCCTACCCCATTGTGACAACCAAAAATGTTTCCAGACATTGTCAAATGTCCCCGGGAGATACAGTTACCCTAGTTGAGATCCACTGGTCTAGACGGAAAGTTATTTGAGGCAGAGGCTATGCTGTGTGGGTCTTCATATCCCTAGCTTGACACACATACGTCCCCTTAAATGTATTGAATTAAATTGTTGAATAATGTGGGGATGAGGGTACTGGACAGGAAGGGGATGGATAGATGGACAGAATAAGAGAGAGGTAGATTAGCTCTCTCATGAGGTGGGTATGAGAGAATTTATAGCAAGTGCTTTTTGAGGGGCTGAGCTACCACACACGATGGGCTCCGATTCCATTCTGCCTCTAAATGGCTACTTTTGCCTGTGGGGCCATCCCCCACGGACTGCTTTCCTGCCCCAGAGCTGCAGGCACAGAATTTCCTGATTGCTCAGAGACTGCCTTAGAACCAGCCAGGAAGCATTTGTTAAGCACTATGTAAGTAACACATACAGATATAAATCAGAAGCAATCCCTGCCCTCAAGGTGCTTTGGCCCAGTAACAAAGACTCCAGTGGGTTTTGTCTCTGTCCACAGGTCCCTTCCACCTTCCCTTCCTGGCATATTTCTATTTCTCCTACTCAGTTGAGGTTATATTAGGCCTTTCTACTGTGTTGTCCTATAACACCTATTCTTTTCCTTCATAGCATTTTCATAATTTTAATTATATAGTTTTTTTCTATGTTTATTTAATATATTTATTCATTGAGACTAAACTCTGAGGAGGAAGGGAAATGCATGTTTTATTTATGTTTCTATAGCTGCTGGCATAGTAACTGGCACCACATAGGCATTCAATACATAATTTATATAAAAATAAATGCATGTGGCCCTGACTGGTTTGGCTCAGTGGATAGAGCGTCGGCCTGCAGACTGAGGAGTCCCGGGTTCGATTCGGGTCAAGGGCATGTACCTTGGTTGCGGGCACATCCCCAGTAGCGGGCGTGCAGGAGGCAGCTGATCGATGTTTCTCTCTCATCGATGTTTCTGACTCTCCATCCCTCTCCCTTCCTCTCTGTAAAAAAGTCAATAAAATATATTTAAAAAATAATTTTAAAAAAAATGCATGTGGTGTGCCCTCCAAGAACCCATGTTCGAGTGGAGGAAACCGTGCATACTTCCTTACCAAGTTCTCCACCAAACGAACAAGAAAGTACAGTGTTGAATTTGGGAGTAAAATGGGAGAATAAATTGGGCTAGAAGTATCTGGGTTGACTTTATGAAAGAAAAAAATTAGAAAATTTAGAAGATTAGGAAAAAAATAAGTAAAAACTACTCATAGCCAAAGGCTCACTATCAGGAGGCAACCCCTTGGTAAATTTCAGCCTCTGTTGTTTTTTCCTATTCTTTAAAATACAAGTTGCTTCATACTTTGAAATATTTCATGAACACAGAAAAATAGAATAATATAATTTCTATACAGAATAGTTAAATCTTAACATTGGGTATTTTTTGCTTTATATTAAAAACTTAAAATTGTATTAAAAAACATTGCATATATAGTCAGTGCTGGCTGTGTACCCCTCCCAGATGCCATTTTCCATTTTCCTTCTACAGAAGCATCATCCTGAAGCATCAGTCCCTTGTATGGCTTTCTACTTACATTATATGCATGTATATTTATAAGGTGTGTGTTTAGTTTGAGGATCCCAAACTTTGTACAGTATGGTATTATACTGTGTGTATATTCTGCAACTTGCTTTTTCATTTTAACATTCTGTATAAAATATATCCATGTAGATGTGTGTAGCAGTAATTCCTTCATTTTTGCTTTATGGTATTCTAGGATTATATTGTGTAGTTTATTCATTCTGTCAGGGGAATTTTTGGACATTTCCATGCTTTGCTATTAACTATGTTGCTATAAACACGTGGGACATTATCTTCTTGTGAATAGTTAATAGCTTCTCCAGAGTTTGGATCTAGAGGTAGAATTGCTTGTACATAGGTATATGCATCCTTGAGTTCTTATATGTTGCCAGATCATTCTCCAGAGGAATTGTACCAATTTCAGTGCCTAACATCACTGTCTGGGAGTTCCTATTGCTCCATATCCTTGCTAAGCCTTGGTATTGTCAGACTTTCAAATTATTGCTAATTTAAAATATTCTATTTTCTTGATTTCTGGTGTATTTGAGCATCATTTTTAATGTTTATTTGGCTATTTTAGTTTCTTCTTTTGTTATGATTTATATCTCCTATGTTTTTCTATTAGATTGCTTCCCCCTTCTATATATTTTTATGTCTTTATATATTCTGGTTATTTTATTTATCTTTTGTTGATATTTTAAATTTTAAATATGTTCTCCCAGTAGCTTTTCTTTCCACTTTATGTGCTTTGTTGTGTTCAAGTTTTACTTTTAATTAAGTCATATTTATTAGTCTGCTTGTTTATGGTTGGTGCTTTTTACATCATATTTAATAAATTTACTACTGTGTACTTTGGGGTTATAAAGAGATTCTACCATATTTCTTTTTTCTAAAAGTTTGCTCTGCTCTTCAGCATAAATCAAATCCATATGGAATTTATTTCTGTGTATGGGTATAAGATAGGGAACAATTTTCCATGTGAATAAACTAGTTGCACAAGCCAGCCCATCTGATGCATAGTCCATTTTTCCCTCACTAATTTGTATGCCATTTCGACTTGCATTCAGTGGGATTGCTCAGTATGTACAGATTCTGCTACATTGGTCTGTAATATATTCTTGTGTCACTTCTAAACTGTCTTACAGGGGCTTTATAGATTTATATACTACTGTATTATGTATGGCCCTGTGGTAAGAACTTTTAATAGATGGTTATGGTTGGAACTTAGGTTCTGGCGATAGAATCCTGGGTGGTTGCATTAGGAAAATAGATGAACATGATATTGTGAAGGGTTTTGAGCAGAACTTTGAGGATACAGATTAAATGTGTGTGCCTGTGGGGCCTAGTGGGTCCCTGGATGCTGGTGGGGATAGCAGTAGGGACTGGGCTGTGATCTTTTAACACCAACCAATGGTTTTTTCCCAAGGGGACTAAGAGTCTCAAAATATTAGTATTTGTGCATTCCCTATCAACTTGTATATATGCTTTATGGGATTTTTTCTGGAGACCTTTCTGTTACTTTTCCTTAAAATGTTATTTACCCTCTAGAAACCTCACCAGATGCTTCAATCTTCTATCACCTGAGAAAGCCTCTAGAAACCCATTCATTGCTTTGGTGTTACAGTCTTCATTTAAAAATGGCCATTTTCTTTTTTTAGTTAATGTGACACTTTTTTAAAAAAAAACTTGAGGTTTACTCCCCCCACTTTGCACTGAATTGAGTCATAAAAAAATGAATGCTATTTTTAAATGCTATTATTCTTTTGAGAAAAAAAAAAGGTTCAATTTAAAATGTTTGTCTAAACTGCAGGGAGTTTCTATCAACTGTGCTTGCTCCTACTAAGAATGAGTAACATGACCTTTCTTTGATTTTAGAGAACAAGAGTGATGTCACGATGCTCCAAATGTATGTCATCTTCCTTGTTTTGGTGGCATTTGAACTCTTATTAAGTAGAACTGAATTAGTAATGATCAAATAACTTAGAGAAAATTGGCAACATACAGGTCATTAAGCCCTCTGGTGCTTCTGCGATGTTTGAAAAAGAACTGTTAAAGAGATGCATAATGGGGAGGGAGAGTAAAACAAAAACTATGTTTTTCAAATTGGAAATGTCTTTATTCTCTTTGCAAACTATAAAAGTACAAAAAGTTTACACAATACCAAAGGGTATAAAACAGCACTACCCAGCAGAACTTTCTGCAGTGATGGAAATGTTCTGTGCTGCCAATACAGTAGCCATTAACCACATGTGGCTATGGAGCACTTGGAAGGTGACGAGTGCGATTGCAGAACGGAATTTTAAATGGTATTTAATTTTAATTAATTTAAATTTAAACAGACACATGTGGCTAGTGTCTGTTGTACGGGACATTCAGAGCGATAGCCATTTCGGAGTGTACCCTTCCGTGTCTGTCCTTGTGTATCTGTTGGTTTCTATCTGCTGCCTCCTGCCCATTTCTTCTTCCTCTCTGTGTCCTACCTATCTCTCCTATCTGTTTGTTTTCCTCTCACTTTCTCTCTGTTTCTTTAGCTTTTAGCCTGCCTTGCACATACTCTCCCTGCCTACTCTCATCTGCCAGCCTACCTGCTGCTGTCCTTACCTGTCTCATTCTTTCTCTTGCTCTCTCTATGTATGTGTTATATACACACATAACCCATTCTGCTTAGTTATATATCATGGACATTTTCCTTTTTCGGTACATATAGATCTATCCAAGTTTTTGTTTTTGTTTTCAATGATAGGATAATATCAGTGGAATGAATGTACCAGTACTTACTTAACCTGATAGGCAATAGATTGTTTTCATTTTTTTCCTTCGTAAATATATGTATATTTTTAACTACTACAGTTTTTCCTATTATAATTTTTCCTGTGTGCTTTTTGAATACTTTGTTGTTGTGCATGGGGTAGGCTTGTTCAAAACTGTGAAATCTGCCTTTTGTTTTGTACTTTGGTACCTGTTGGAATTCACTTAGCAATTCAAATAAAGACACCTCTAGAGTCACTTACCTGTAGCTTCAAGGACCATATTAAGGTTACAAGTCTTTAACAGTGCAGTGTGCTAGGGGAGAAAGAAACTAGAACGCTTTATTGACATGAGTGTCTGCTCATTACTGTCTATCTCAAGTTGGCCAGTGCAATTGCATCTGCCTTTCTTGAGGCCATCTTGGCAAGGGTGTTTGTAAAGGCACCAGCAGGCTGACCCTCAGTCCAACCCCTCCATCTTTGCTTCATGGTCAGAATTCCATTTGGGAACAATACCTGGGGCTCCAGGTCTCTCTGATCTCTCGTAGATTTGGAAGGAAATCTTAATTCCTACCCAAGGTTTAATTGAAAGAGTGGTCATGTCTGCCAAAGGAGGCAGCTTGGAGGGGAAGCCTCAGAGAAGTTTCTGGTAGCAGTAGGGGTGGGTGAGGGTCAGCGGAATCACTTTCTGGCTAACACCTCAGTTCTGTTGAGTTGGCAATTTTTTTGCCACATCTCCCAGAATTTCCTGAAAATATTCTGTTGCCACTCATCTGATAAAAACCCTTGTTTTTTTCTAAAATAACTTGTTTAATGAAATTCCATGTAATAGTTGCTTTTCTTATTTAGCAAATGGGCTTTCATAGCCCTAACCGGTTTGGCTCAGTGGATAGAGCGTCAGCCTGCGGACTCAAGGGTCCCAGGTTCGATTCCGGTCAAGGGCATGTACCTTGGTTGCGGGCCCATCCCCAGTAGGGTGTGTGCAGGAGGCAGCTGATCGATGTTTCTCTCTCATCGATGTTTCTAACTCTCTATCCTTCTCCCTTCCTCTCTGTAAAAAAAAAAAAAAATCAATAAAATATATTTTTAAAAAATGGGCTTTCATACACTAAATCTGTTTTCAAAGTTTATAATATGCTGAGGTCATTTCCAGGTGATGTTCCAAGTGATGATTAAAGATTTTTGTGTTTATCTGAAAAATATTTTTCTTAAGGACAATGATGTATTTATAGGAAATAATTAAAATAATGCTGCTTGAAAAACAAAGGGCTTGCGGAACATCTGAGCCGCCTTTCCCTTCATTAGTTTAGTCACTTCCAGCACAGAAATTGTAATCCTTCCCTTAAATAATTACTTTCAAGGACTAATTTCAAAATCCTGAATGTCTCTGGCTACTTTAAGAAAAAGCTAAAGAGATAGCAATGTTATAAGGAATAAAAAGCATACAGAGAGCTTTTATTTTACTGATTCTACTAAGTAAAACCACACATACCACTTTGGGAAATTCTTGTACTCTGCTGAGATTAATTTGTGTACTTAGCTTTAAGCAGTGACTATAGGAACAGTATCCTCTCTTTAAAAATGAGTTGTTATTTTCTTTCAGAAAACTTTATACGTATAGCCATGCTATATTGCCAAATATCTGGAAGTCCAAAGCGTATTAAATCCTAAATGTTAGACAAAACAATAAAAAATATTAATGTTGATTTCACTCTCTGCTCTTTTCAGAGTTAGCCTGTATTATGCCTGTGTTAGGAAAATTTTTAAACCCTATGATCATTTATTCATCAGAATATTTGTGTGTGTGTGTCAGAACAGTTGGTAAGAATAAACTTTTTTTTTTTATTTGGAAGTTTGAAGTATAATTAGAAAGTCAAGACAAGCTAAAAATGAGGTTTAGCATGAGGTTTTTTGGTTTGTTTTCTTAAAATCAAAATTTAGATTAATAATTGAAATACTTTTTATGTTATTTCACATAATGGAGAACCAGGAATGTTGTTGACAAAATAATAACACTAATTGCTAACATTTATTGACTACTTTCTATGTGCCCAAAACTCTACTGTGCACCTCACATCTAATATTTTTTCAGTGCTCCCTTTAATCCTGTGAAGTAAGTACCTTTGTCACCCCCATTTTTTTAAAAAAATTCTGCAGCTTTGAAAGTGTAAGTGGTTTGCCCACCAACTAGAAAATTTCAGAGCTGGAATTTGAACCCAAGCAGGCTGACAAACAAAGGAGAAAGCTTCCAGCACCACAGGTCTTATGTGACCCGGTCTCTCATGAAATAGGGGCTAAATGTTATGACAGTTAGGTGAGTACATCAGCCAGGAAACACCATAACTGAAAATGAAGCCCATGAGCAGCTACTGAATGCCTTCTTAGTGCCAAGCATGATTCCAAGCACTTGATATCTTTGTCTCATTTCATTTGCACCCCACAAGGGAAGTATTATTTATACCCATTTTACAAAGAGGCTTAGGGAGGTTAAATGACTTGCCCTTAGTTGTGCTTCTTGTAACTTCTGAAGTTGGGATAGTACAGAGTGATGGATTAACATTGATAGGAAAGATTTTTATTAGTTTAGAAGGATTTGTCAAGTTCTGTTCAGTTAAATATTTTAGTAATTGACTAAGATCTATAATAATAAAAGTGTAATATGCTAATTAGACCGGATGTCCTCCCAGACGACCTTCCAGACGAAGCTGCGGCGGTGGGGGCCGAGGCAGAGGCAGCTGTGGTAGCAGTGGGGGCCGAGGCAGTCGCCCTGGTGGCGGGGGCCAAGCCCCTTGCACGAATTTCATGCATCGGACCTCTAGTGAATATATAAAGGGAAAATTTCAAATGACAGAAAGCTGAGAGAGAATATATAAATTGGAGAATGGATCAAATATTCAAAAAGATCTTTTTGATTTTTCTTTTTACACATAATTAATACAATCATTTGTTTAGAGGTAATAATAAAACAATACTAAAAATCAATCTCAGCATGTTCTTCCTCCCAGGAGCACATCTGCACCTTTCCCCTCTCGCTCTCCCTCTCCATCCCCCACAGGTCTGCATCTCCTAAACTCTAGGGACCCCACACGGCTTGCAACCAGGGCAGCAATGGACAGTAGCAGTTCATCCTGGACAAACACCCTGAGCCTCTTCTCAACGCCCCCGTTTCTCTGACTTCTTAATGAGCCAGAGTTGCCCAGCCTAAGCTCGTTTCTCTACCTATTCCCTTTCCTATTATCCTAGGCCCTTTGTTGTTTCACTGTTCCCAGATTTAATAAACATCCTCTAAATTAAAAAATAAAATTCACCCTCACCTCTGCCAGAAACCACTCCATCACATTATCCCAGTCACACACAGTTCAATTTTGTTTATCTTTTCAAAGAACCAGCTCTTGGTTTCATTGATCTTTTCTGTTCATTTTTTAGGCTCTATTTTGTTTATTTTTACTCTGATCTTTACCATTTCTTTCCTTCTTCTCACTGTAGGCTTTATTTGTTCTTGTTCTAGTTCCGGTTCCTTTAAGTGTAAGGTTAGATTGTTTATTTGAGATTTCTTTCTTGTTTCTTGAGGTAGACATGTTTGCTATCCATTCCCTCTTAGAACTACTTTGGCTGTGTCTCATAAATTTATATCTTAATTTTCATTTATTTCAAGGTATCTTTTGATTTCTTCCTTGATCTCATTGTTTAGTAGCATGTTATTTAGCCCCCCCCCCCCTTTTTTCAGTTTTCTTCTTGTCATATATACACTGTATTATATTGAGGTATGTTTTGTCTAGTTCCACTTTGCTGAGTTACTTCCTACCATTATGATCCGAGAAGATGCTAAATGTGATTTCAGTCTTCTTAAATTTATATAGGTTTGTTTTGTGGCCTAACATGTGGTATGTCCTGGAAAATGTTCAATGTGCACTTGAAAGGAATGTATATTCTGCTGCTTTTGGGTGAAATGTTCTAAAATATCAATTACCAAATATCTAATACTAGAGGCCCAGTGCATGAAATTTGTGCACTCGGGGGGAGGGGGGAGGTCCCTCAGCCCAGCCTGAACCCTCTCGCAGTCCAGGAGCCTTTGGGGGATGTCAGACTGATGGCTTAGGCCCGCTCCCTGCCTAAGCAGGGACATTCTTAGCGCTGCTGTGGAGGCAGGAGAGGCTCC